GAGTAAATGTTGGCATTGTATGTTTCTGCAAACCATATGTAACATTTGTACATTATTATGTAGCAGACATGTTGAAACTTATCATTTCAACAATGCTTTGGTTAGGGTGTCCTTATGTTTAGGCATAAAATCATTTGGTTATGGTTAGAAAAAGATCATGCTTTGGCTTAAAATGCCAACTTTAGGTGCAACAATTGCCGCTAGAAATGCAGCAATGGCTAACCAACAAACACCTGCTTTTGGTGGCACAATCTCTGCTGGAAATGCAGAGACGGCTTGCTAAAACACACCCGCTTTTGGTAGCATAATCTCCACTGGAAATCCAGCAATGGCTTCAAAAATAACACTCACATTTGGTGGAACAACGCCACTGGAAACACAGCGATGTCTTGCTAAAAAAACACCCACCCTTGGAAACACAGCAAAGTGCTGCTAAAAAACACCCGTTTTTGGTGGTACAGTCACCGCTGGAAACACAGCAATGTGTTGCTAAAAAACACCCGCTTTTGATCGTACAGTCACTGCTGGAAACCCAGCAATATATTGCTAAAAACACCCGCTTTTGATCGTACAGTTACCGTCAGAAACACAGCAATGTGTTGCTAAAAACACCCGCTTTTGATCGTACAGTCACCGCTGGAAACACAGTGATGTGTTGCTAAAAACACCCGCTTTTGATGATACAGTCACCGTTGGAAACACAGCAATGTGTTGCTAAAAAACACCCGCTTTTGGTGGTACAGTCACCGCTGGAAACACAGCGATGTCTTGCTAAAAAAAAAAAACCTGCTTTTGATCATACAGTTACCGCTGGAAACACAGTGATGTGTTGCTAAAAAACACCTGCTTTTGATCATACAGTCACCGTTGGAAACACAGTGATGTGTTGCTAAAAAACACCTGCTTTTGATCATACAGTCACCGTTGGAAACACAGTGATGTGTTGCTAAAAAACACCTGCTTTTGATCATACAGTCACCGTTGGAAACACAGTGATGTGTTGCTAAAAAACACCCGCTTTTGATCATACAGTCAGCGTTGGAAACACAGCGATGTGTTGCTAAAAAAAACCCTGCTTTTGATCATACAGTTACCGCTGGAAACACAGTGAAGTCTTGCTAAAAAAAACACCACAACCTCCGCTGGAAATCCAGCAATGGCTTCCAAAAATCACTTGCTTTTGATGGCAAAGTCACTGCTGGAAATTCAGCGATGGCTTGCCAAAAACAAACACTCACTTTCGATGGCACAATAGCCACTGGAAAAGCAGTGATGTGTGGCAAAAAATACAGGTGTTGTTTTTTGATTTTGTACAGTAGTCTGCCGTCCACCACCCTCTCCACCTGACAAACTTAGCTTACGTACTTGTAAACACAGCTACATCACTTGAGAAATGTCAGTATGATATATATGAAACATACAAATTTAACTTATAGCTGGTGACATTTAGTCTGTGACTGTCTTGGGTTTGTAGGGAATAGTGTTTATTTAAACCTGCTAAAAACAGAAATATTAAATTAATAGGAATATTCTCCTTTTTTCCGCTTAATTTGTGATTCCTGTCTAGAAATATTGAACTAAATTGTGTGACATACTGGTGAGCAGGGTTTTTTTCAAGGCTGGATATTAAAGCTGTTACAATTAATTTTAATTTAATAAGATGTATTCACACACATGTACTCAGGATATCACTGGATATCTGTAAAGTGATGCAAATGAATCATCGAAATCACCTATAGCTGTCTCTGAATTAATGTTGCCATTATTTAATTTTACATTAAATGACATAAGTGGTGCCTTTGTTGCATAAAAATGTCAATGGTAGCATAACCTTTAGCTAATGGAAAGCTCCACAATGCATTTTTAAGCTTCTCGTTTCATTTCTTATAATGTAACAAAGTCCAATTGCCCTCTCTGTCTGCCAATAAAGGAGCCAGGACCTTGCAATCCAAATTAATTAGATTCTATTTGTGGCCACATTGCTTTGCCTCCGTAGCAATTCTGTTCCATTCATTCTGCCTGCCTGTATGTGTTCGGGTGATTGATGTACAGAGTGAGCGAGAGGAAGGAGAGACTGATGGAATGGCTGAGGAAAAAAAGCAGGGTGAAACAAAAAGACAGCACATCTATATGTGTGTGCATGTGTGTGAATTGATTTTCAATAGCACAGACAGTGTCCGTGTGTCCAGGAGCGTTGCCCAAAAAGCATTAGACTGTTCAGCTGTAACGGGCCTCCAGCTGTAGCTGAAACCAAGCAATCATCAACCCAAAAATACCCAAAAAACAGATAAAAAGGTGTCAGTACACAGGGCTTTTACTTCTGGTTGTTGGGAGAAGATGAATAAATGAGTTAAAACCCTTTTTGCTCCTGTCGGCAGTAATGAATGGCTTTGATTTAGCAACATTTTTTTTCTTTATTTCAAATGTTTGAGCTGTCAATCCTGCTGTCTTTCCCTCATGCTTTACAGAAACATTGCTCTCACTATACGGCTGAGTCAATACCAAGCTGCTCATCTCTTAATGACTCTATCTGCTGAAATCTTAATCCAGTCCACTCAGCACTCTTCAGCTCAGCGATGTGGTAAAAACTGGATGACATGAGCCTCTGAGGTTATTCACTGTTTTCAGATTGCATTGATTGTTTGTAAGGATGTAGTGAGGACACCGAGAATGGGGTGAGAAAGAGGATTGATCTTCATCTGGTAATAAGATAGAGAGGAATAAACAGAGGACAGAGCTAGGGCCTTTATCTTGTTGAAGCGATGTTTTCTAAGACAACAGCTGTGTTGCGTGGTGATTTTTGAGGTATAATGGGAGCCATTTGCCTCTTAGCAAGAAGAGGCAGGCAGGTGTTTGTCAAGGTGCCCTTGGTGAGACACTTGACCCATAATATGTCCTGAAAAGTGGCTCATTAGGTGACAGTAGAAGACTATTCTCTCAGAGTGTAAATCTAAACAGCAACTGACTTTTTTTATAAGCACCGTCATGCTTAGGACAAACTGTTAAACCTTCGAAGGTTGTTGAGTATTGGCAGACAATCTATGGACAACAAAGCAGGTAACATAAGCAGCTTACATTTTGTACAGGATTTGAAATAATGAACAGAACCATGTGTCTGCTTTTCTGAAGCAACAGCCTGGTTTTCAGTGTGATTGCAGTGTAATTTTAGATGTATTTCAGGGTTTCAAAAGCCCATATTTAAACATGAAAACTAGAATTACCTCCTTGCGATTGTATACCTCCGCCAACCACTCAAGTTACAGTTTACATCCATGTCTGTCCAGACTCACATGTAGACATGACATTTGGCAATGTTGCAAATGCGGGTGTTGCTGCAAAAAAGCCACATATTCAAAACACTGAGGCTTCACACACATCTCCAACCCGACAGCACAGATCTATACAATCAGCACAGCTTCAAGGTGAACACCCAAGATTAGTGTCACCAATTCAGTATCTGACCAATTCTGTTATGGCGTTAAATAATAACAAGAAAAGTGTTTTTGCAGAACATTATGATGTCACAGTGAAGCTGACCCTTGACCTTTTGGATACAAAATGTCATCACTTCATCATTTTATCTTATTAGAAATTTGTGTGAAATTTCGTCAGAATTAACATATGAATTATTGAGCTATGGCCAAAACCATGTTTCGTGAGGTCACCATCAGTTTCTGCTCAGTACATCCTTGAGTCCAAGTGGACGTTTGTGCCAAATTTGAGGAACTTCTCAAGGCATTCTTGAGATATTGTGCTCATGAGAATAAGAAGGATGTACAGACATATGTCAGGATGAACAGACAGAAAACCAGTGTTGGGGAGTAGTTAACTACATGTAATTTAGCAGTTTAACTACATTTTACAGTAGCTTTCTGGTAGTTCAACTGCATTCATATTTGCATAGTGATTCAAGTAGTTCAATAACTTTTTTTGCCATTTTTAATAAGTTGTTTACTACTGAAACTCCAAACAGTTTTGGGCCATAAAAGGAATGATTTTTTTTACATTTTTATTTTACCATTGCTTCTTTACTGTTTTTTTTAACCCACTTTTACCACAATTAGTCATAAATACTGATTATTGCTTTTAACAAATATTCAGAGAAGGTGTTGCATGCAATTGTAGAAGTTACCTGGCTGACTGAGTTATCCTGTGTGGTGTGTGACGAATGGAAATTTTTTACAAAAAAAAATAAAAAATCTGGCATGCCTTGCATATTCCCATGGATACTGAGGTATTAAAATTTGTTTGGGTTCATGATCTGTGAATAAGTGGCACTTAACAGGCGTTTTTTGGCTGGCATGTGGCTTTTTTTATTTTGTTGTAATCTCGTACCACACGTACATTGTCAATTTGATCAATTATTTTACAAAATAGTTCAAACTACCTTTTCTAAGTAGCTTTACTCAAACAAACTAGATCTCTCCCTGGTGTAGCTTTGCTTTATTTTTCTTTTAAACAGCTTATCACACATTGCTGTGACCAAGTCTGTATCTTCATGTTCTACAGTGAAGATTACATGTGATGTTCAGAAATCAGCACTGCCTTATTTCAACACTTTCAAATAAACACATAAGCATCCATGATATTGCCTACAGTAATGTCCTGATAGACTACTTTTAATTAAATTAAAGCTAATTTAACATAGTTTATTGTTAGAACATTCAGAATCAAAGACAGGAACGTGCTGTTTGATGAACATGCTGATGCTCAGTGAGTATTTGTGGCCTCTGTTAGTCTTTGCTGCCCTCTAGGCCAAAGATATTGTCAACACATGTAGCACAGAACAGTATTTACAGTGCAGTCACAACCTGCATGTTGTTCACAATTATACAGCTGTCATCACTGATCACAGTTTTCTTTATGCTGCTTTAGAACTATATTTTTACACTTGTTTACCTGAAAAATCAAGTAAAACCAGATTAGGTTTCTGTCATCAAAGAGGATATGAATCTAATTCATTTTAACAGTGTTACCCTTTACTCTGAAAATCGTGACCTTTTAGTTATAAATGCAGTTTGAATAGAAAACACAAATTATAAAAGTGATGACTGTCTTTGACTAGAATGCATTATGGATACCAGCTCCACAAAAGTCAGTTTGTAACTATTCATAACAGCAGACTGTGCTGTAGTACTGTGAAGGTACAAAAAGGAATAATACTTAAGTAATCAAACATTTATATATATCTATTTTTAAGTGAAATCAATCTCTGCATCTCCCTGTCATCCTGAGTCATCAAATTGGGTACTCCCAATCTTGGTTTCCTTTCTCCACCTTCTTCCTCTCAGTTCGGCACCTCTTCAGGCAGTCCTCACACAGGAAGCTCTCCTTGACCAGGCAAAGTCTTTCTGTTAGCACAAGTGACTCGTGGCCCAGTGCCTCCTCAGTGCGGATGGGGTTCCTGTCCAGGTTGACCCACTCCAGCTTTTTCAGCCTCGAAAGGCAGCCAGGGACACGGGTTAATCGGTTGTCAGAGAGGCCGAGGTGACGGAGCTCCTCCAGAGTGCCGATGGAGGGGGGAAGAGTTTCCAGCTGGTTGAGACCCAGGTTGAGGGTGTGGAGTTTCTTCAGCAGGCGAAGCTCTCTGGGGAGGCTCGTCAGATGGTTGTTACACAGGTTCAAAACCAGCAGGTTCTGGAGACGGCCGATAGTCTCGGGGAGCTGCTCCAGCTGCAATAAAAACATTGACACATTCTGTGATACACAGCATAATGCCAAACACCAATGACAACTGTTTCCTGGAGTTTGGGGTCTACTTTTTCTTTAATTTTTACTTCATGCTCTTTTGTTTTAGTGTGTTTATCAGACACAGTGGTGTCCAATCAGACACTTATCCATTATAAAAAGGCAATTTGGCTGTTAAATTACTCATTAAACACGGTAACATGGACACCATCACCAGGGGTGTTGAACAAAATTTTGGACCCTGTGCGTGGGTATTCTTTATGAAATCCTCCCTACACTGACAGCCATTCATTTTAATATGTTTGTAGGCCCTCTTCATATGGGCCCTATATACTCAGTCCCTCTTGGGGGGAATCCTACGCCCCCAACCCGTCACACAACAAAGCTTCTTACCAACTGGGCAAACTAAGCAACTCTCCCAGGGCACCAGACCCTCAGGGGGATGAAGGCTCACCATGGGGTGTTTGTGGTAATTTGAAAACTTGTTTTTTTTTATTGTGTACACCACAAAAAGCACAATATAAACAGAAAGCACAGAGGTAGATCATTCTATGGCCCCATCCTGTACAGGGGCCATGAGTTAAAGTCTAGATTAAAACATTAATTAATTCAGTTTATCTTGTGCTTATACTGTATGGCACATATTTCTAATAGAATGTGTGTTTACAAACTAATAAATATCTAATATATACACATGGACAAAGAGTGGGAGAAACAGGGTCAATAGGGGCCCCTAGAGTGTTAATCCAGAACTGCACAAAGCATGCAGTGTCACATAAACACTTAACATACAAAAGTAAAAAGGAAAATATCACTGGACCATCAAAGGACCAAGATGACTTTCAATACTCAATGTAGGTCAACCTTCAAAACCGCCAGATCCTACATTTCCCACAATGCAACTTAGAACCTTCCCTGCATACAACACCCATGTAGTTTAAAGTCACAGCCATAGTGGGCAGCACAGGCTCTTGGTATCCAAGCTCAAGTCGACATTACATCCATGACATCATAGAGCCACGCAGTGTATGAAACAGCTAGTTTGTGTCACTCGGTTAAGAAAGGAGTATGGTCAAATGAACCAAAGATGCTTCTTGGAGCAATGTTTTCTGTCATACTCACACAGTTGCTGTGCAGATCCAAAACCTGGATGTTGATGAAACTTTCAATAAAGTCGGGGACCTTTCTGATCAGGTTCCTGCTCAGGTCCAGTTCATCCACGTTACACAGCTTCTGGATGCACTTTGGCACCACGGCAACCTCCTTAAAACTGAGATTCAGACGGTGTTTACCATCCAGCGTCAGCTCCAGGCAGTTCTGAGCCACTTTCAGGGTGATGGTTTTACTTTTACCCTGTTTGGTTTTCTTTCCTTTGGCCATCCTGCTGCAGGGAGACACAGGACAAGCAATGTTTTGATTTAAACACATTTCTTGCAAATAATTTCATGATCAAGAAACTCTTACCAGCTTTAACGAGTCTGTCTTCTTAGATTCAGCACACTGAATGCAACTGCAACTATAGTGTCACTTGACCTATTGATCTCTTTCTTCAGCCTAAAAGTTACACTCTACATCAAGATGCCACAGTTGTTGTAGTCAGACAAGGAAAGCGCTGACATGTGCAGACTCACTTGGCCTCACGAGGGATTTGTTGTCTTTAGTTCCCAGGCAACTGCTGTTTGCTCTCAGGAGACTTTACGGCTGTGAGCCGCTCCAGCAGGACACTTCATTCTTTGAGTGAGTATATTTGGAGGAAATTTTCAGAACAGTGTGGTAACTGTTTCTAGGATTATCCCTTTTAAAAAATAATAAAATCGCATAGATCTTTATACTGCTTTTCTGTTGCTTAGGCAACAGCTTTGGTCCCTTTTTGTGTCAGCTTATATTAATCCAACAGGAAATACCATTTAAAGTGTTTTGATGTCAAGTCTGAAACGGAGTAATTCAGTGACGCTGAAAACCATTTTTTCAAAACAAGGACATTTATGTCGATATCTTTATGTACAAATGTACTGTATAACCTCCTGCACTGTGTCGCAAATGTTCCTTTTTTTCTTCACATCATTTGCCAAAAAAAAAAAAATGTTGAAAGGCTATGTTGACCTGACATTCCTTCCCTCCTCCCCCTGTCTGTGACCTGATGAAACTGATAATGTTTCACTCTTAACATTAATTGTCAGCCAGGCACATGCACAGATAACCCTAACCCAGGCACATGCACAGATAACCCTAACCTACACAAACATTCATTCATTCATCTTCTAACCGCTTCATCCTCTTGAAGGTCGCGGGGGGACTGGAGCCTATCCCAGGTGACATCGGGCGAGAGGCAGGGTACACCCTGGACAGGTCACCAGACTATCGCAGCGCTGACACATAGAGACAAACAACCATTCAAGCTCACATTCACACCTACGGACAATTTAGAGTAATCAATTAACCTAGTCCCCAATCTGCATGTATTTGGACTGTGGGAGGAAGCCGGAGTGCCCGGAGAGAACCCACGCTGACACGGGGAGAACATGCAAAGTCCGCACAGAAGGGCTCCCAAACCCGGGATCGAACCGGCAACCCTCTTGCTGTGAGGCGACAGCGCTAACCACCACATCTCCGTACCGCCCCCTACACAAACAAATATGCAAATATTTTCACCTTTTATTTCAAATCTTAAATAACACTCCAGAAACTGTTATGTTACGTTGTTACATTATGATGTACATTAGCAAATAAGCTGTGAATGTTTGACAAAGAAACCAAAAGCTACTTGAGAGAGGAGCTGCTGAGGACAGAACTTAAGGAAGAACCACCACCAGCCTTGCCTGAGCAATGTGTGAGTCATGTCAGAGGAGGAAAAAAAAAATTCCTACAGCAAAACTATGCTGAAGGTGCAGAGCATCACCCTGAAGCCTGGAAGCTGCCCACAGAAGTCCACGGTTGGCTTCTCAGCTTGGGATGCTTTCTGTGGAATCCGATCATCTATTTTGACCTTCATATTAATAAGTTACATTTTTTCATCTTAACAGGTAAAAATATAATGTCTTAACACGTCAAGTGGATGTTAAGACAAAAGAATTGCCCTGTTTACAAGTATATTTCTGTCATCTTAAGACATTTAGAACATTAGCTTCCATGCCATTGTTTGGCGTCAACATACCCACTGCTTTTTGACGTAGCGACTGCGTTGGACTCTACTATGCCCACATGGTCATGTGGACTGACTCGTTAGTGGGTATGTTTTGGCTACGTACCTGTAACCTGTTATCTAGCCACGCAACTGAAATTTGGTATTTGGGACAGTCCACTTTGTGTGTGTGTATGTGTGTGCGGTGTTTTACACGGGAAAACCGAGGTATCCACCTTAGTCCTAGCCCCCATGAAACCTTGTGTGAATTAAGGGCACAGCTTAACAGCTGAACTGGAACCAGCGTTTTCCTATGCTAACGGTACTGAGAATATGCTACGCCTTTTTTCTGGAGACACTTGGAAATAAAACATGTAGAACACACCACCTGTTACACCTCAAAGCATTAGTTGTTTTCCGTTTTAACCAAGTGTGTTAGCGATTAGCCTGCCTTGCTCTGTTAGCATATTGTGAAATTTAACAGAGCCCGAGCTAGCTTACGGGAAACATCTACTCCTTCTAAAAAATGATTAATGATTTGTTACGACTCATGAACAGACAGACCCCATGAAACCTTGCGTGAATTAAGGGCACAACTTAACAGCTGAACTGGAACCAGCGTTTTCCTATGCTAACGGTACTGAATGGTACACAGAATATGCTACGCCTTTTTTCTGGAGACACTTGGAAATAAAACATGTAGAACACACCACCTGTTACACCTCAAAGCATTAGTTGTTTTCCTTTTTAACCAAGTGTGTTAGCGATTAGCCTGCCTTGCTCCGTTAGCGTATTGTGAAATTTAACAGAGTCCGAGCTAGCTTACGGGAAACATCTACTCCTTCTAAAAAATGATTAATGATTTGTTACGACTCATGAACAGACAGCCCCCATGAAACCTTGCGTGAATTAAGGGCACAGCTTAACAGCTGAACTGGAACCAGCGTTTTCCTATGCTAACGGTACTGAATGGTACACAGAATATGCTACGCCTTTTTTCTGGAGACACTTGGAAATAAAACATGTAGAACACACCACCTGTTACACCTCAAAGCATTAGTTGTTTTCCTTTTTAACCAAGTGCGTTAGTGATTAGCCTGCCTTGCTCTGTTAGCATATTGTGAAATTTAACAGAGCCTGAGCTAGCTTACGGGAAACATCTACTCCTTCTAAAAAATGATTAATGATTTGTTACGACTCATGAACAGACAACCTCCATGAAACCTTGCGTGAATTAAGGGCATGGCATGGTATTTGGTTAAACTTTCTGAGCTGTGACTCAAATGTCACTCCTTTTTCTTATTCACATTGTTTACCAGAAATAAATGTTGAGAGGTTAAGTTGACCCGACATTCCTTCCCTCCTCCCCCTGATGAAACTGACAATGTTTCACTTGTAACGTTAACTGTCAACCAGGCACATGCACTAAGAGACCCCAGGTGGTGCAAGCACCTGTCATTTTGCCCTCTGTCTAGATAAGTGCCCAAATAACTCTCACTTATTCTAACCCTAACCTACACAGAACAAATGTGCAAATGTTTTTTCAACTCTCCAGAAATTGTTATTGTTACTTCTTTTATTATCTTTCATAGAAAATTAAAGGGTTAGAAAATTACATACACTGAGCCTACAGCTGTGAGTTCAGGAGGGATTGTTTTTCAGATGTCAGAGAGGATGTAGGCTGAAAATCAAAAAAAATCAAGAAGAGACCAAATCAATAGGTTCCAGGCCGGCAGATAAAGAAACAAGGATGAGATAATTAAAGAGTGACTTGGATGTTAACGTTTTGATTTGCAGACAGCCGTGATGTGCATTAGCAAATCAGCTGTCAATGTTTGACAAAGGACCTAAAACTATTTGAGAGAGGAGCTGCTGAGGACAGAACCTCAGGGAGAACCACCACCAGCCTTGCCTGAGCTATTTTACAGTCAGATTTTGGCTTCTTGTTCTTGGTTTTCTCGACTAAACTTCCAACCGAATCAGTTATGTCAGGGGAGGAAAACATTTTGTCCCACAACGAAGCCATGCAGAAGGCAGGGGACCCCAAACGCTTTCCTCTAATCCAAATCAGAGGAGTTCCTCTCAGGAGCTTGATTGCCAATAACTGGGACTCTATCTGGGCTTTCCGTCCTGACCCTCAGACCTCCTCATCGCCACCTACCCCAAAGCAGGTACTTCAGTTCAGGTCTAATTAGATAATCAGATTTAGGGACACATTTTGCATCATATGTATTTTACTAAAGTTGAGTTTGTGTTTGCACGGTAATACATTTCAGAGTATGTGACACTTTTGTGTTTTGTCAGTGATCAGCATCACATCTTATGGTATGTGTTACTTTTCTATATGAGCCTATGTAGTTTTCACACAGCCCCGGTGGTAAAATGTAACTACAGTACAGGTAAGCCTGTTAGACAATATCACTGGTTTTGGGAGGGCTGGTTTGAGGAGTAAGTTATTAATTTTCAGAAACAAAATAACAACAATAATTTAACTTCCACATTCACGTAGCAAGCAGCTTTTTTTATCAGCGCTGCTGCACTCAGGCTTTCTGTTACTCAGCTTTTGATCTGGAAAATCTGTTGAAGCCCAGACATAAATGTCTGTGCTCATGATGTCTGGTAAAAAATATTTTCCTCTGCAAATAGGTAGCCTGACTCTGTGTCCTAACAACGAGTGCCTCTCTGTCCAAGCTGAATTTGTTAAATATGCACTTGTGGAACCTCATGTGAACAAAGCCTTGTACTTGTCAGCTTTGCGCTCATGGAAACACACCACATATGATATCTGCTGTGCGCTTGAGATCCTAGGTCTACGTAAGACATAATCACTTAAAAGATGGTCAAGTAGACTTGCTGTCCTTCTATGTTTGTAGCCTATTTTTTAAACAGAAACACATTTTATATTTAGATATTTACTGGAAATGACATGCAGCCAACAGCAAGTTCAATCAATCAAACTTATTAAGTTGGTCATTATTAGTTTGGTCATTGCCAGAAAATTTCAGCTCCGGTTTGCAGGTTTGTGGTTGGGTTTGGGTCAATGATTAACGTTTAGGGGTTGGGCTGGACAGACTGGCTCTCATAACAGGCTGGGTAAACGAGCTTTAAAAAACCCTGACCCTCACATTACTGCGACCCACGAATGATTACGTATGTACATGTAAAGATATGTACTTAATGTAAGGTTAAAGTAAAGTTAAGTAAAGTAAAGTTAAGTAGGTTAGATTTATGAAAAGAAACATGATAATGACATAGGTTTAAATAACTTAAAGTTCCCTTGGTTTTGAATGTGACACTATCACTGGTTTGTTGGGGAAATCATTGCATGGATTTTAGGTCTTCATACTACTTTCATCTTTACTCCTGTTAGTACACTCGTCACATGATCGCAGCCTTCCTGATTATGAGGGTTTTGCACCAAAAACTGGCTCATGATTACGTGGGTGATATACAAATTGTTGGGCAT